ATCTAATTCACACAGATGATTTTTACAAAGATATATCACCTGATACAAAAAAAAAGTTTGACACATCTGATTACCCTTCCAATCATCCATCTGGAATACTGACAGGAGTTAACAAAAAAGTAATAGGGATGTTTAAAGATGAAGTAGCAGGAAAACAAATAACTTGTTTTGTTGGATTACGACCAAAACTTTACAGTTTTAGAATAGAAGAGGATAAAGAGGTGCGAAAGTGTAAAGGAATAAAGAAAAATGTTGTGAAAAAGAAATTAGATTTTGATGACTATGTTCAATGTTTATTTACGGGAAAAAAAGAAATGAGAAAAATGAATATAATAAGAAGTGAAAATCATGATATATATTCGAAAGAAGTTAACAAAGTAGCTCTAAGTAATGAAGATGATAAGCGCGAAGTTCTCTTGGGTAAGATAGACACTTTGGTTCTTAGGTAAAAATAGTTTAAAAAATGAAAAACATACAAACATGAATCACATTGTATTTAGAAAAACTATATTTTTTTCTCATCCTATTTATGAAAATTATTATACTAGTAAAGAAGGTGAAATATATAGCAGAAAGAGAAACAAAATATTAAAACTACAAAAACATCCCGCTGGTTATTTAATTTTTAATATTTGTAACAAATCTAAACGTAAAAGTTATTATGTTCACAGATATGTTTATGAATGCTTTTATAGAAATATACCAAAAGGTAAAGAAGTTGATCATATTGATAATAACAAGACTAATAATAATATTAAAAATTTGCAGTTGTTAACTAAAAAGGAAAATATGAGCAAATCTCATAGTAAAAAGTTAAAATCATATAATACTAAAACAAAGGAAATACAAATTTATAAAAGTGTTACTAAGGCGTCTGAGGTTCTTGGAATTACTGTATCTTCAATATCAAAAGTTTGTAGAAAAGAACAAAAAACAGCTAAAACAAAAGATGGAATAAAGTTTAAATTTAAATATATAAAATGCATTACAAAAACGACCAGATAGAACGATATCTAGAAATATTGCATAATTATACTAAAAAACCCATAGAGGAAATAGATGTGAGTAAAAAAGCTAAATGTAGTAATTGTGAAAACAGAGAATCTTTTACCATTGATTACGGTTATAAAATCTGTGAAGAATGTGGAGTAGCAAACGGACATGTATTAGGCTTTTACGATAATAAAGATCACGGAAGATTATTTTATCGAAAAAAGAGCGTATATCAACGTAAGTATTACTATGAAAAAAAGGTTAATAAAAGTTCTAAAAGTATAAATCTAACCAACAAACAAAAAAACAAACTTTTAGTTAAGTTAATGAAAAAAGACAATAAAACCACAGAAATATTAAACGATTTATACTCTAGAAACAGAATGATAAGTATTGAATATTTAATCAAAAAACTTTTAGCTCAGATGGGATGTGAAAAGTACAAACTATTTTATCTTATGATTTCACCACAAACTTTAGATAATTATGAAAATTGGTGGGATAGTTATAAATCACTCAAAACCGGATAGATTTTAATATTCTTTTGATATTAAAATCACTGTTTACTTAGTCCGAACTTTTTTTCATACCTACTAACAAATCTATCTGCTATAGGTGTTTGGTCGATTATCATTTCATCTACCAACGTCATGCGATCAACAAAATCTTGTTTATTCCACTCGTCTCCCCGAAGAGCTGATCGCAGTTCAACAAGTACTTTTTCATACGTAGTGAATGCAATCCTTGTCATCTCAATTTTTCTCTTATAATTATTTTTCTTTCCAATTCCCGCCACTATAATTCCAGCTCCATTTACTACTCCGAGAACAACAGGATTTTGGGTTATTCCACCAGAAATAGTTCCTATTGCAACCAAACATATTCCAGAGATTGTAAAAACATCATCAAGAAATTTATAACTTTTATACGATTTCTTAAAACACCAGCATTTTTTGTGGTAGTGTTTATAAAAGTCTTTGAGGGTTTTAACGTCTGTCTCTGACAAAGATTTATCAATGTGATTAAACTCAAAGATATCCTTCATTTATATCTATAGTATATAACTTCCATTTAACTTTTCTTGAAGCATTACTTTGTGATATTGCTCAGAGTCATCATCGTAAAAGTTTGGAGAGTACATTATTTTACTTATCACTCCACCTTCAGTTCTAAACGAAAAATATTGTTCGCAGGTGTAACGAACGATTGGTAAACTTAATATTGCGCTGTAGTTACTTATTTTAACTTTTGTAATATTTTGGCTAAAATCTTCCACCAACCATATAACAATTTTTTTTCCATTAAAATCCCTTGGTATGGTAAATTCTCTTTTTACTTTATTAATAGTTAAACTTACTTTATTATCTGAACTAGTATAACCTAAACTTAATAAAAGAGTTAGTCTATTTAAATCTGATTTAGTTAAAAGAAATGTTCTATTTCTCCAAAGATAAAAAACAATACGTAAAGTATATTTTGTTATACCATTAGGAGGATAAAAATTAATATTATAATTTTTAACATCTAAGCCTTCTTTTCTTATATCATCTGTGGTTTTATTAGGTATACTAATATCTCTTAAAGTATTACCACTATTAGAAGCTAAATAGTTAAAAACAATACCAGATGAGGTTCTACTTAATTTGTAATTAGTTGCATCAGTAAAATCAAAAACTTCTTCAAAATATTTTCTGTACAAATTATTTATAGTGTGAGGAAATAATTCCTTTACCATTCCAACTGTTGCAGCCCTATTGTTACTGTTTCTATCGAGATTGATGTTTAATATTTTTTTATTATTTGCATTTATATCAACATTGTACACCACTTCTGTTGGTTTGATATCAAATGCGGTGTGATAATCGTAAACTTTATCTGGATCGATATTGCTAAATGTTCCCACAATTCCATAAGTAATTATATAAACTCCTAGAAACTGTCTTGGATACACAGCCAGGTCAGTTCCATCTTGTGGTATATTAACCAAAATGTGAAGAAAGAACTTACCAGTTGACAACTTCCGGAAATTAACTATTATTCTATGGTAATACATAAATTGTGTTTGTCCCTTTGAATCGCTGTACCTATGGGAGAGTTTCCTTACACTAACATTTCCAATTGATAATCCTGTTGAAGTTCCTTTGTCTACACTTATTTGTGACTTATGCCATAGTTGATAATCAGTGTTAAGTATTTCAAGACAAAGGGTATAGTCAACATTTGCACTTAACCTGTAAAAGTTGATTCCCATTTTGTACTTATATCCACCTTGAGAACTTTTGTTTATTTTTACAAAAATTACTTTGTGGTTATAGTTATGAAAATCACCTTTAGAAGGAGATAAGTCTCCTATTCTTGTTATAATAAAACTAGTTCCAGTATCTATTTCATCAGTCCATTGAGACCCACTTGACATAAGATAAGCAAACTGGTTGTTGTAATGACTTAGTTGAACTGCAGTGTGATGAACTAGTTTGTTGCGTAATTTTTGGTTGCCGCTTCATTGTCTTGGGTTGGATTACTAAGATTTATTACTTTATTATTACCAACATTAAGGTCTCCAGTCATAGTGACAGTACCGTCTTTTTTCAAATAATCAGTCAAATCTGGGTCAGCTGTGTTACCATCCACATATTTCTTTGTTGCAGCATCTGTGTTTGTTGTTGGAGTTGCGAGACCAACTATTTTTTTGTTTCCAAGATTTAGGTTATTAGTCATTACTACACTTCCATCTTTTTTATAAAAGAACTAGTATCAGGTATTGAGTCATCCACATACGTTTTGGTTGTCGCATCAGTGTCATTTGTTGGTGTTCTTAAATTATTTATACTTTTATTATCCATGTTTAGATTATTAGTCATTTTATTTGTTCCAGCAACGTGAAGATACTTCATATCTGCGAAAGCTAATGGTGTTGGTTGTTTGGGACCCGTTTGAGCTGGTAGATTTAATATTCGATTATTATCCATATTGAGATTACCTTTCATTGGGTAGGAACCATCTCTGTCAACAAATGTGTTGTCTACGTAATCTTTTGTAGGAGGATCTTTTCCATCCAGTGGTGTGCTAAGATTTGTAATTCGGTATGTATCCTTCATATCAATATTTGAATCAACTGTTAATTGTGATGTTGAGTGTGGTCCACTAGAATTATCATCTACGTATTTTTTTGTAGCAGCATCAGTATTATTACTGGGTGCTCCAACATTTGTGAGTCTTTTTTTATTAATATCGTAATTTCCATCTGTGTAAGACTAAAACCAACTCCTGGAGCGCCCTGTATTCCTTTAGCAAAAGGATGATCAAAAGATTGTTCGTTAAATATTCCCATTTTTTTATTATTAGGATAGATTACTAGTAAAGTTTTTAGCAATACGTTTTCTTGGTTTATCAATGTATAAAAATGTAAATGGTTTTTTTGTTGCCGCCCTATATATCTCTTTGTCAACTCCCAACTCAGATGATATTCTGTTTGCTTCCCTTGAAGAAGGAAATTCATACAAACAATAGTGAGAGCAATTTAGCCGTATATCCTTTGGTGTTTTGTAAAACGATTGACTGAGGTAGATTACAGAACAATTTTTATGTCGTCCTTGAATGAAATAATCAATAATTTGTCTCTGGTTTTTGTCGCAAACGTAATCATCAAATATTATAATTTTTTGGTTGTCTTCGTAATCCATTTCTGTAACCGGGGTTATTTCCTCGTTACTCACATGAAGTATTTCATATCCCAATTTACTACTCAAACCCCTCATTATTTGAATTAGCTTTTGATACTTATCCTGTTCTAGATTATGCGTGTAAAGATAAATCTCATCGTAATGCAACATTGGTTTGATTAACATGTGGTATAAAAGATTAGTCTTACCACTTCCACTGTTTCCACAGATTAACATTCGAAACGTATCCGCTGGCATAAAAGGAAATAACTGTTTATATTTTTTATCAATGTCATCGGTACTATCATAGTTTGGAATTTCCATTTTATTTAATCAATAGATGAAATGGATATAGAAGAAGCTAAAAAATTTGCAAGAAATAAAGTCGAAGCTGATGCTTTGATTCGACAGGTGAGAGATGTTATAAAAACAACAAAATGGCAAAAACAAGATATGAGAGAGGGTTTTAAAGAGACATTTAAACCACTTATTGAATCACAGGATAGCATTAAAAAAAGTATCGACGAACAACAAAACGCAACTATAGCACAACTCAGAGCTAATCAACTTGCTCTTACACAAGGACTTAATCAAAACAGACTTGCTATAACTGAGGGATTTGATAAACTTGACGAAGTAAAAAAATGGGATTTGGCTCAATTACCTGGTTTTGAGGCGATTGAAGAGCCTAAAGAAGACGAAGAAGAATACGAAGAAAGCAAAGAATATTTACCCTCTACATCAGACGAAAAACCAAAAATAGTAAAATATAAAGATGAAGACCTAGATAGATATTTATTGAGTAAAGAAACACAAGATATACTAAAATCGAATGGTTATGATAATCTGCCTTCCCATTATTTAAAAGAAGATAATTCTACTATTGACAAATTAATAGAAGAAGTCAATATTGATTTAAATAACATAAAAGATTTGTTAAAAAACACTGCTGATATTTATCCCAACAAAGCAGGTTATTATTTTGCTAAAACAAAAAGTGAAAATCCAAAAAGAAAAGCAATAGAAAATGTGAAAAATTTCAACGCATTAAGCACATATGCTACAAACTTAAGTATTCTTAAGTATTACAAAGATAAAGAAAAATTTGGCTCTGGAATGATTTACTTTAATAACCCACATCAACTTCTAGACAGACTTGAACTACCCGGTGGATCAATTCTAGCTGGTAATAATGGAGTGATAAATGAGTTTTCTCAAATAGCTCATCTTCTCAACCAAATGAAAGTAATCTCAAAAAAAACAACTAAATGACTTACTAAAAATAGGTGAACCTACGGTTCCCCTATAACCCCTCCCTGAAAAGGAATATAAACATTAGATAAAATGGAAGAACGAGCTATTCACATTTCTTCAATAAATAGAGAAAAAAGAGGAACAAGCAGACCTGGTGATTTTACTATCAAATTTAACCCATCTTTGAAACTTGATCCTGAAAAGAGACATCAACTTGCTCTTGATCGGTTGTCCATGACTTATTCTTGGTACAACATTAGAAGTGATTATGGAAACAATAAAATTAAATACACTCATGATGGTACCAACTGGCAAACAATTACTCTTACAGATGGAATGTATTCCTACTCAGATATCAATGATTACATTCATCAATATATGTCTCAAAAGTCTCATCACTCAACAGATTCAAGTGGAAAAAAGACTTATTCAATCAATCTAACTTTTATACTATCTACCTATAGAGTGTTAGTATCACTTGAAGGCGATTATCAACTTGATCTGAGAGGAACAGAATGTGGAGAACTGATTGGATTTGAAAAGAAACTTATGTACAAAAACAGAGTATGGATCAAAACTACCAAATATCACAAATTCGATTGATGTGTTAAATATCAACACAACCGCAATAACTAATAGCATTGTAAATGGAATAAACACAAATACTATTGCTGTGATACCAACTGATAATCTTACAAGGTCTTATCCATTTACGTTTGAACCTAAAAGACCATTGTATTGTCCTTTATCATCGTATCACATTGATGAAATGAGAGTCTATGTGACAGACTCACTTGGAAGACCTGTAAATTTTAATGGTCTTGATTGGTTTATGACTTTGACACTTCACTCGATGTAATACTTTGTATAACTATTAAAATAAAATGATGCGACAATCAGAGTTTAAAAAAAAACTTGACCCTGAATTGGGGCGATATACAAGACAACATATTTATGGAGAAGGAATAACAGATGTTTTTAAATCATTTGGTAAAAAAATATTTGGAAAGACAATGAAAAAAGCTGCTAAAAAAGGCGTTGAAAAAGCTGTGACAACAGCTGCAACAAAAACTGGTGAACATGTTGGCAAAAAAGCCGGTGATAAGATAGTGCAAATGCTAACCAAAAGTAATAAAACGCCAAAAGTTACTTTTAATAAAAATGTTGAAATAATTCCAAACAAAAAAATAACTCAACAAGAAATAAATCAAAGAGTGAATTCTATTCTGAGTGGTGGAAAAATTATATAATTATTAAAATAAAATGAAGTCCTTTAGAAATCCAGAATATTTAGAAAGATATGAAGATGTTGTTTTTGACCTTGAACAGGCTTTAGAAACACCTGGAAATGGTGCTCACCAAACTAAAACAGGTCATAGATTTGTTGCTGATAATACAGGTGAGGCCACTCCATTTGATTGGTATAACGCGCGATTTTCAGTAGATTTAAAAGTTAATCAGCTAGCTGCTGGAGCTGATATAGATGCTGATGGGGATCAAATGGGAATAGTAAATGGAAGTAGTTCTCTCATAGAAAAGTTAACCATCCTAGCAAATGGTAGAGATGTTTATAGTTGCAACTATGCTAATCATGTAGTAAATATCAAAAATTTGCTTGAGTATAATCTTTCCTATGTTAAGAGTGTAGCTACAAATGAATTTTATTATCTTGATACAACAAGACATGCTGAAAGAACAGAATTTACTATAAATAACACAGGCGTCACTGGAGGAGCTAATGTTGTTAAGGGGCGAGCTGCAAATTATAACAAAGGTTTTGCTGTGAGAAAAGCATTACTAGGCGACTCAGCAACAGTGCGATGTGAAATTCCCCTCAACAGATATTCTTTCTTTGTGGCATTAGAAAACAAACTTCTTCCAAATACAAAAATTGAATGAAATATTGAAATAGAATCAGATGGTAATCTTATCTGGCGAGCTGGTGGAAATGATTGTAGAGTTATACTAACAAGATTTCAACTATTTGTTCCAAGAATAACATTTAACTTAAAAGGACACGAAATATACCTAAAAAATTATCTCAAACCATACAAATGGAAGTATCTTAATGAAGTAGTAGAGCGATCAAATAACTCTCAACAGCAAACAGGTCATTTTAGAATTGCAAATGCTATATCAAAACCTCGCCATGTCTTTGTTTTTGCGATTAACACAGCCAATATTGATTCACAAACAGCAAATCCATTTCTGTATAACACTTTCAATTTACCAAACAATGCTAATGTGTCTCGTTGTTATCTTGAGGTTGGAAATGGGAATGAATACCCTGATATTCCCTTTAAACCAGCTACAGATCCAGCAAGAGTTTTTAGAAATGTAATGTCATACATATATGCAAATAATGACTTTCAAGGTGGAACACTTCTCAATGGAACAAATTTTGAGTCTTTGTTTCCTTTTGTTTATTTTGATCTTACAAAACAAAAAATGGATATAAAAGATGGAGTTACAAAACTTGCATTTCATTATGAGTTATCTGCTAATCCAAACGCTGATTATAATATTTACGCTCTGGTGCTTCATGAGCGAGAGGCAGAAATAGAACAGCAAGGAGGAAAACTATTGCTAAGAGCTTAAATCTAAATTATATGATATAAGTAACACTAAAAGTTCAACTTCATAATCGAATTGATAAAAAGTTAATGGTAAAACATCAAATAGTTCAAGAGTTAACTTGATTGATCCATTTGTAAAGAACTTTCCTCCAAAGCAGGAGCAGATGTTAACCGCTTAAGTCGCTTTCTTTTCTTTTGATCTTTCTTTTCTTCACCTTCTAAGAACCGTTTATATTTCATTTTCTTTTCCTTCCTGAATTTTGCAATTTTTACTTCAAATTTTCTTCTTCTTTTTTCTTCGATAGCTGCTTGCCTCGCAATATCCAATATTCTTGGCAATTGAGGAAAAAACGATAAAAATGAATCGATTTCTTCTTTGCTCATTCCAACTAATTCAGAGAAAAAAACACTTGAATTAAAGGACAAATTTCCCAGATCTGAGCCTCCTCTTTCTTAAGCTGAATCTTTAAATTCTTGTATTTTCTTAATACAAGCATCCCTGCGTCCTTCCAATTGCTTCAAAGTATAAGGCATAATCAAATTAGTATATGATCTGTTAAAAATTTTCTTCCTGTAGTTATGAAAACATAGAATTTTCTGAGAGTTGTTATGATTACACAGAATTTTATACAAGTGTAATAAAAATATGTGTAATCATTTGATTGGTTGAAAAAAATCACACGATAATCTCGTGATATAAAACAATAACTTTCTAGAAGGTACTAATGACAAAGCAATATTTATAATTAGATTTTAAAAATAAAATCTAATTATATCACACCTAGAACATTCAAACTAATTAATAATGTTAACCACCAACCGAGTGAAAATAAACCCAAAACAAATAAGAAAAGATTAAGTGATGAGATTTAATATAAATATTATAATAAAAAATGACTACTTATATAGAATACGGAGTAACACTTACAGATGGACAAAAGTCAAAACTGGCTTCTGCGATAATAAATCAATCACCACTAACTCTTCGATTAAAACATTCTCATCTTCGAGGTTCTGATGAGTTAATGTTGACCAAAAGACAAATTGATAAAATAAAAAAATCTATTTCAAATGGAACAGGATCAGATATAAAGATAAGTAAAACACAGATTAGACGTTCTGTAAAACATGGTGGAAACTTATTTTCATCACTCGCATCTCTCGGAGCAAAAGTACTACCATATGCAATAAAAGGAATTTCAAAAGCTGTTCCTGCATTAGCAACTGGAGCTGCTACTGCACTTGGAGAAATTGGATTAAATAAAATATTTGGAAGTGGGGGAACCTACGGTTCCCCCTACACCCCCCTCCCTTTACAAGGAATCACAATTCCCCCAGAGTTTTTCCCAATGCTTCCAAATATTGTAAGAGAATTTACCAAATCACAAATAAACCAAATTAACAAAGCTTATCAAACAGGAGGTCGACTGGTTATTAAACCAACTCGTAAACAGATAGAAGGAGGATTTTTAGGTACTCTTGCTTCTATTGGAATTCCGATGGCAATAAGTTTAGTATCTAAGATGTTTGGTGGGGGACTTCAGGTTGATAGACGTGGATCATCTAATACATCTGTTTACGTTCCACATCCTCCTCCACCAACACATGGTGAGGGTTATCCTTATCGCTCACCACCCTTTATTGGTACATGGGAAAACCCTATAGGTATGGGGGTTAAAAAAAAAAAAAGTCCAAAGGCAAGGGTCTACTATTAGGAAAAAACAGCCCATTCAACTCAATTCCCATTCTCGGCACCATTTTGTGGTGGGGGAACCGTACTACACCCCCCTCCCTTAACCATTCTAAACTCCATTTTGTAATCAAACCTTTATCCAACTTTGACCTCATGGAATGGGTAAAAAGACTTGGTATTAAACATTTCAGAGGAATATATAGTCGTGATGGTCTACTAAACAAGATAAGAAAAGAATGCGGAATAATTAATCTAGATGATATTCAAGGTCCTGGCACACATTGGGTTTGTTATAGAAATATAGATTCGGTAGTCGAATATTTCGATCCTTTTGGTTTGATAATGCCAAACGAAGCATTAGAGTATTTTAATACTTCTGGAAAACGTATTGTTTACTCGATAGATGAAATACAAAATCGCAGTACTGTTCTCTGTGGTTATTGGTGTTTATATTATTTGTTTGAAAGACAATGGGGTTTTGGTATTCTAGATGTAATACATAACCCTCATTTTGATAATGACAACAGCGATTTTATAAAGTCATACTTTGGAGGATAAAAATAATATTTAATAAATATTATTATTTTTTAATCGTCTTCATCTGGCGCATTTTTTAGTAATTTAATTCTCTCAACTTTTGTATTTAGATCTTTAACACTTTCAACTATATCAACAAATTTTGAGTAAATGTCAATAAGACGATAAAGTTTCTTCTTTTTATCACTATTTATTTTCAACCAAGAATACTCCTCATTTCTGATTTTTTTCCACATCTCACATTCACCAGCCATTAGCACTCTAGAAAGATCATCGTTTTTCTTTCTAAGAGAATCAAACTCATTATTTATTTTTGTCCTTACTTCTTTCTCGAAATCCTTGATTGTTTTAACATCCATCTTTTTTTCTATCTCAGAAAAGAATTTGGCTTCCATTTATTATATGAATAGATAGTTTCCTTTTACGACATTGTTAAGCGTATTTGATTTTTCACTTATTTCCATAAGCAAATCAAATATTTTTATAAATTTAGTATCGTTTTCCAATCCAGAATGATCTACATAATCATAACTAACGTTTAAAAAATTATATATCTTTTGAAGTTCACTTTTTACAAAATTAGATCTGGTAGACATACTTAGTAGTTGTATTTTTATCTAAACATTATATTAAATGAAAGAAACTTATTGTATCGTAGATAAAAGAGTAACTCCTTGTACAGAGCCAAGTGGTTACCAAAATGATAAAAGAGGAAGGACTCAATTCTTTTGTAGATGTGCAGTTTGTGGAAATAAAAAAGTTAGATATGTAAAAATGGGGAATATCCCCATGCAAACTGGAAGTGGAAAAACAAAAACAAAAAAGAAGTCAAAAAACTAATCAGCCCGTCTGAAGGGGCGGGCGTCTTTGATACTGTTGTTGGCACAGCAGTTGATGGATTTGTTCATTACGGTTTACCTTGGATGGGTAAGAAAGCAGTTGAAATGGGAAGGTATTATGGGTCAGAAGCGCTCAGAAACCCTAAATTACAGAAAAAAGCAATAAATTATGCTTTGGACAAATTAAATCCAATGATACAAAATGTTGGTTCTCAAGCTCTTAACCAATTATCAACCAAAATACGGCCAAAGAAAAACTACAAAACAAACAGAAAAGATCTTGATGGAGGAGCTATAGATATCCACAAGCAAATTGGTAAATTACCAAAACCAAAAGGAGGATGGACCTTGCCAGGACATAAATATACCGGTCCTTATAATGATCTTGAGAACGAAGTAAGATATGATCCGAAAACCGGAGAAATATTAGAAATTTACGATCAACCAACTGGACCAACCGATGCCGTAGCCATGCAACATGATGTTGATTATAGTGTTTGTGCTGATGACTGTAAGTGTAAAAATAAAGCCGATAAAAAGACGGTAAAATCGTTAGATGCTATTCCTTGGAAAGAAAGACAATGGGGGCATACTTTAGCTAGAACAATAATAAATACCAAACAAAAACTTGGAATGGGAACAAAAAACGTAAAGCGGCGTTGAGTAGTGATTGGTCTCAACAATTAGCCGATACACTTCACAAATGAATCACACGAAACTTTCAAAAGAGATCAGTAGTCTCAAACGGAATTGATGAAATTTGGGCTGCTGATTTAGTTGAAATGCAAAAGTTTAGTAAGTGGAATAAAGGAATTAAATATCTGCTGATGGTTATTGATGTGTTTAGCAAATATGGTTGGATTAGAGGTTTGAAAGATAAAAAACCCGAAACTGTCAGTAAAGCATTCGATGACATATTTAAAAGTAAACGTAAACCTCAAATGTTATGGACTGATAAAGGTTCCGAATTTATAAGCAAACATTTTAAAGATTTTCTGAAAAGAAAGGGTATCGAGTTGTATCACACTGAAAATGAGGAGAAATCTAGTGTTGTTGAAAGATGGAATAAAACAATGAAAAACAGAATGTGGAAGATGTTTACTGTTAATAACAACACTATTTACTGGGATAAGATAGATAAACTAGTTGATGATTACAATAACGCTAGACATTCTAGTATAAAAATGACTCCTGTTGAAGCAAGTAAAAAGAAAAATGAAAGTAAAGTTTGGTCTAATTTGTACGGTGAATCTATTTACTTGAAACCTGGTAAATCAAAGTTTGCAATTGGTGATAAAGTTAGAATTTCTAAGTATAAGAGAAAGGTATTTGATAAAGGCTACACACCAAACTGGACAGAAGAAATATTCGTTATTGATAAAGTTTTACCCACAAAACCTGTTACGTATAGAATTGTTGATCTGATGGGAGAAGAAATTAAGGGTTCTTTCTACAACCAAGAATTACAAAAAACAAAACAACAAACATTTAGAATAGAAAAGATTATCAGACGAGATAATAAGAAAAAAATGGCATTAGTAAAATAGAGTGGATATCCTGATAAATTTAACTCATGGGTTAGTTCTAAGGATTTGGTTAATTTTTAATACGAATTTCGTATTAAAAATAGTTATTTACTCGTTTTCTTCAGAGATAACTAAGTCTTCGACTACTTGATCAGTTATTTCTTCGATATCGCTTTGCTCTTCATCTTCCTCTTCAATTGTTAGTAAAGACTCTCTAGGTTTAAGTGGTTTGACATAGCACTCATGAACTTTTATTTGTAAAGATGTCACAGTTTTACTTATGAAGATTCCTTCAATTATCAAAGCCAATTTAACATTACAGTACTGATCAATATAATTAAAAGGATTTAAATCTTTACCTCCCTTTCCCTTAAACAACGATAAAATTTTCTTTGATTTTTCTGAGTAAATAAGTTTCGCATAAAAAACTGGTGCAGATGAGGGATCAATTCTTGTTTTCTTCTTTCCTTTTTTATCAGTGTATTCTTCCTGTTTGTGATATAATGGCGAAGTAAGAGTCGAAGCTAAATCTGGGCCATATTCATTCTCTAAATGTTGTTGAGATAGAGTTGTTACTTTATTAATAACATCCCAAAATTCTTTTTCTTTGTTATTTGGTTCGCTATCTTTAGCCCAAAGACATACTGGAATACTATAACCTACTAACTTTTTTGTTTCTTGATTTTTCTTTTCACTAACACCAAAGCTAAAAAGAAATGGGGTTTCGATTACAAGCGGTCCTTTCTTTCCATTCGAATATTTGATTTCAATTGGGATACGCTTGTATTTAATTTTACTATCTTTGACTTTAAATTCTTTGGGTTCTTTAAATATAATATTGTCGTGGGTAAGATTTTCGTAGCTGGACAACTGCATTTTTGATTATGATTATTTAATCTTTAAACATTTTTTTCTAAATATTCAAATTTGTATCTATCCCCGTCTTTTTTGGAAATCACTGTTTTATAATAATTTACTTTTCTACAAATATTAGAAATAATTGAAAAGGAAATATCTAATTCGAGTGAAGCAGAAGTAATACTTTCATAATTTTTTTGTTTGTTATTTTTAATATTAAATGATAATATAGGGTTACTATTTCCTTTTCTCACATTTTCTGCTAAAGTTAGTAGTTGTAAATTTTCTATTTTATTATTTGTTTTAACAGAATCTATATGATCAATAACAAATCCTTCTGGTATTACTCCTTTAATACATTCCCATTCAAACCTATGTATATAGTAAGTTTTTGGTTTGATTAGATTTTTATCGCTAATTTTAAACTGATAGTAACCCTGATAAGTCAAATTTTTTTTTTTAAATTCTTCCAGTTTTTACATTTAAAATTTCACCTTCTTTTGAAGCGGCATATTTACTAAAGATAGGATGAATATAGAACTTCTTTTCTCCATTTAAAACTTTTTTGCGGTTCATTTTTAAAAAATCGTTTAATTCTTAAACCGATTTACTACCAAAGAAGTTTTGTTGACCAATAGTTAGCTGATTCTGGATTATTATGAGTTAATTCTCCTTGTTTATTCTTAATCTTTGTAGCTCGAGCAAGATATTTATCTCTTCTATCTTTGTCTTTGTGAGTAAGATAATCCGCATATTTTGTCGATCCAAAATGAACTTTTTTTCCACTTGTAAGAGTAACCATGTATTTGTTATTTTTTCGTGTTGAATAATCAAGTGATTCAGAACCGAGTTTTTTAGCATTTCTGGTTAGTTTTTTAAACTCTTTTCCACTAACAAGATATTTTTCATCTGGAATATAATCTGGACCCTCATCATGTCTATAACCATCATCAACTATAAAATCCAAATCCTCTTTTGTAGGAGTAGTTTCTCTTGATCTTGGTACCATTTTATTATTTTGATTAGATTATTCTTGTTGGGAAAATCCCCTAAATACACTCAACTAATCAAATGGGAATTTCCCTAATATTAATCTTACCATTTAAATTTTTTCGCATAATACAATTTCCCTTACTTGTTCATAAAACTTTTCTCTATCTTTCTCAAGTTCGATATTATCAAACTCTTTTGAATTTAACACTTCATAAAATTCATCACTGTTAAATATTTCAGGTTTCACCAACTTAATCTTTTTAAGAATATTTTTAGTTTGTTTTACTTCTTCATTTTGTTCTTTATCATCTTTTGTAATAAAAGGATCTCCTCTATCTGTTTCATCTAAAAACTTAATCTCATAACGCTCTGTGTCTTCCATAGGAATGGTAGTATTAAGATAGTGCTTTTCATTAATTGATCCATCTATATTAAAAATTGGTTCGTTTTCATCAATTCCATGAAATGTTGGTTCTTCAGGTTTACGACAAACAAATTGATCCTCTTTATTAACAAAAATAGCATTACGTCCATTAATTTTTTTGATATATTTAAAATCATCAAAAAATAAGTAACCAAATCGTTTTTTCATATAATGCAATTTTAGTAAATCATCATCTATAAATTCAGCAACATCTTCCCAATCAGTAAAACATTTACCTTTTTTAAACATTTCCATCAACCAATCAAACTCGTTATTGAAACGACAATACATTTTATTTATTTAATTATATAATTTTATTACTTTGAAGAAGTAGTTAAAGATCCCAATAGTAAAAAATTTATAAAATATAGCAAATAATTTATTTAATAAAATAGATTGTTATAAATCTATGGTTACATTTAGTAAAGTATTTAATCTTATAACAAAAAAAAGTTATAAGATTTAAAAATATTAATCACCATCAGTATCACTATCACTAAAACAATATCTGTAGCGTTATCTATTTCTTTCAGCATTATAATCCCAAAATCTATCATTGGGTTCATATTTTATTTTAAACTTACTACAAAATAATACAAAATCATCGTAAATATTTATGAAACCAGGATAGGGATCAACAAAATTTTGTTCATCTCCATCATAACAATCTTTTCTACAATTAATAAGATTATTAAAATCATTGAACTTTTTTTTAATCCTAATTAAGTTTTTAATACCACTAGATTTAATCTCAAAGTTACTTAAATCTTTAAAATAACCTGAATTTTGATATAACAAAAATTTGCTAATAAATTTTTTTATTTTATCAACTCTAAGATTTTCAAATAATCCACGAGTTGCTTCGTTCATGTTATCAAGGAAATACTTAAATTCATTATTAATACCTATTATAAAAAGGTATTCATTCTTAAAATCCTTTGCGTAATCTGGGGTATTCTTGATAAGCATTGTGTTTTATTTTTATATTAAATTCTTGAAATCATTTTTATTTTCTACTTCAAAATTTAGTTCAAATTCAAAATCATTAAAATTTCAATAACAAAAATGACAGAAAAAAGTCAATGACAGAAGACAGGTTTTAATCAGAGAATAACAGAAATTAAACTCTGAAATTTTTGACAATAGTACAAAAATTTCTTTGTCTAAATTCCGTCATTGACTTTTGGAGATAAATGATGGAAATAATTGAAAAATGACGGGAAAAAGTACAGAGTGAGTGAGTAGTATGGCATCATTCCCTAACTACTTACAGAAAGCAAATAAAGCACCAGATGCGTGAAGTCAACACGAAACAACACAATAAAACGAACAAGAAAAATTAAATTTGAACTACTTTTTATTCTCGCTATGATGACTGGTTCTTTGATTCTTGTCCTGTAGAAGTTAATAGGTAGTACCAATCCTGTTTTGTACAGTCTCAACAAATTTTCACACTCTCTAAGGCTATTTTTACACGGGACCAGTTTGCTTCTATCAAAAATCTTGCAAGCCATGCCAGTGAAGCCCCAACTTCTGTGATCGGTCCGGAATCAGTTCGAACACCCCAATGACTCCTTGCAATGATTAATGCTCTTATTCTCTTACATGAAGTGTTTTCTTTGAAATATTAAATGTGAAACCTAGACCACTACTGTAAGCTCATCTTTAATTGTCCTACTCTGTCCGCTGTTTTGAAAATTGTTGATCACTGGGGTAATGTTTTGATTTGTTTGTTGATAAACACCAGCGTGTCTTCTCATTGGTTGAACAGTGTCGCGTGACTGGTTGGCGCTGTCCTTAAATTTAGGGACATTCCGGACTGTAGAAGGAAGCATAATAAAGTTTTGATCACATCATTCCTCAGTACTTTACCCAGCATGTAGACAGAGAGTGACAAATTCCGTCATGCGTCGTAGACTAGCCAACGCAGTACATTATAAGGAGACGGAAGTTCATTGCACACCTAGCTCGTTCTAGGCCAGTTAACTCTGTGAGTTGCCACTTGAATTCTCAGCAGAACTCCAAGATCTGCGAATAGGCTATTTTTAGGGGGGGGATAGACTATTTTTTAGGGGTTTTTATGGTCTGCTTAAGGAGGCGTTCTTTTCTGGCAACATACACTTTACTTAAACAGAACAAAAACATTAGTTACAATTATAGACCATTATAATAATAAAACTGATTTACATGTTCGCCGTGTGGGAGCACTAGGTGGGACATAAGGCAGTTGATTGCATTTTTAAACGTGGTAAAAGATCTGGTCACCTTGCTTTATAGGGAAGGCTATTCCACAAATGCGCCTCACTGTAGCAGATACTTCGTTCAAGGAATTCAGTACAGGCCTTGGGAAGAGCAACTTATTTGCCTTGTCTCCAAGCTTGTATTCCGTGGTGAATGGTTTGAATAGATTTTGTAAGTACTGCTGGGTGCATTTATTTAAAATGTTAAACATTAGTTTAGTTTTCTGTCTTTCCTTCGGGTATAGGGGTTATCCCGTCCTTAATTTGTGCGGAGGGCAATGGTACTACAGCGGTAATCGGAATTTGTGATTACTCTAATGGCATGATTTTGTAGTTTTTGTAATTTATCGGCTAATTGGCTGTTGAGACCGTCCCAAACAAGGAAGCAATAGTCAAAATGTGGTTTGATAAGAGTTCTATACAGTAGCATAGCTATATCAACACAGATGTGGGCCTAAACCTTTTTGTGAACTTATACCAGAGAAGATAGTTCTTGCGATCTCATTGACGTTTCGACCATGACAGATATGACTGCCTAGGGATTTAGTGTCACATACCCTCTTGATTACTTGATCTCCCAAATGAATGTTAAGTGAATGATCAGTGTTATTTGCAAGTCTCTGACGTGAGCCTATCGTCAATAGCTAGGTTTTAGCAATGTTAATTACTTATTGACAATTAGCCATTTGTGAAGGTTAGCAAGTTCACTGTTAATTGTAGATCTTTTTTATGGACCCGTTTTCTGCTAAGAGGGGTGTGTTTGTTGAGAACACTCTCAAGAAGACCACCCCAGAAGTCGTACTCATCATCAATGTCAGCAAAGATAGCAGAAACATGCCACAGTGCATCCAGAAGATGCGGGTTTAATTGTTCAAAATCAGTGTACCTCACATTGCTGAAAATAATTAAACAATGATAATACAGAGGATTTGCTGTAGATCCTTGAGTGAAGTGTTTAGGGCATTGGTGTTGCTAGACTTCTCGCTCATAAAATTAACTGGACAATGTTTACCTTAGATTTAGTAGCCATGTACAGCTTAGCGTTCTTTCGTGCTGCATCATACATAGACTCACCATCTAGACCTGAGACACCCGCATGCTTCCCTGCATCCATGTGAGCGTCCGCTTCCTCTCAAGTCTTGAATGTTAGCACACATGTACTTTCACTGCATGAGAATATTTCTCCTCATGGTTTGGAAGCATGGCTAACTGAGCTAAGATTGATGCTACAGGTCTGAAATAGGGTAGGGAAAATCTCAGATTTTGGTCTGAAATAGGGTAGGGGTTTCAGGAGGTGTGCCGCACAACCCTGCCCAATTTTTCTGGAAGTACCACCCCCCACCGCCAGGGATTGCGTAAATAGCGCGCACACTGCAAAAGATTGTGACGTCACAGCTCATGCAAACCTGACTATTTCATGGGCTGATTTAGCAACAGAACGCGAACGTCAGTTGATGACAGGAAAGCGCGTGGAAAGGACTAAACGCGACTTTCGTTGCCAATTTGCCGCTGTGTTGTTTGATTTGCGCGCCATTGTCAACTGACGCTCCCGTTCTGTTGCTAAATCAGCCTAGAGTTGTGTTTGCAAGAGAGTTTGTAGTAATGACATCATGATCTTTCACAGTGCGCGTGCTATTTACGCGCTATCACTTTGCTCTTTATCTTCGAGATTATCCTCGTCATCAATAAGCAGATCGTTCCATTCCTTTTGTATTCCTACTATTTAAGAAAGTCATGAGGAGGAGAGAGGGCACTTATTCGATAGGGGCACTTGTTTGATATTATGGCCAACGGGGTGAGCACTTATTCGGGGGACGGGCGCTTATTGGAGCGTGGGCCCTTACCGAGGAAATACGTTACACAGATATGTAACAGATTAAAACAAAAAGAGTTAAAGTAAACGCACAGGACAGACCAGCAAATGTGTTAAGATACATTTATACAAAATAGAAATACCGTTTGTTGAAAGGAAAAGTTAAGAAGCGCCTCCCTTATTAAGTGCCCTCCTTCCAGTATAAGCACCTCTACTTTTAGCCGAGCTGGGGCGCTTGTTCGAGGAAATAGGGTAGTTACATAGGTTACAAAATATAATGAAGTTTTAAAGAGCTGCCTCGTAACACCACCACTAATATGATTCTAAGAGAAGGGTTGGGAAATGACGTCAATGCTAGAGGTCCCCAGGTCCCTAGACTGTGACTGCATTCTTACGTTAGAGTTTGTTCTACAGAATTGCAGCTGCAGACTTGTACTAAATTCTTTAACATTTCCAAGTACGGCTTCTATAGGCAGGTTATGGTACTGATAATGGTCCTGATACCGTTTAATAAAATCACCCAGTCTGGGAGCTGACAA